CAATGACATTGATGCGAAAGTGATGGTATTTCCATAACTGCCTGAACCTATATCCCTCCGTCCTCCTGCACTCCCTTGATAGGAGGATGCCAGTCTACCCGGAGCATGATCTGATAAAAAGAAAATGTGGGTGGACAAGAAGAAAATCGCAACAGAGGTATGATAAAGCCAAGAATCAACAAGCTTTACACCATTGATTTTTTCTAGTCTGATGGAAAGAAAGGGAAAAAAATGAAAAATAAAAAAGGCGGGGGTACGAGCGCACAATTTGTGGTCGGCAGAATTCAATTGCGATAGGGTGTCTGTATTGAGTACGAAAAAATACCTGCACGAGGCGTTCCGTAGAGAGAGGCTCCTCGCTCTCGAATGAGCCGGGGATCAGTGCGGTCTTGGATCAGAGGAGACCGCATGAGAGCAGGCGAGGCCTGAGTGAGGAGAAAGAGGCAGGGAGTGTTTGGTAGGATAATGCGAAAACCAAGGTTGGTCAAAGGAGGTGAATGCGAAAAATGAAAATGCGAAAATAAAGCAATGCTGAAGGGAAATGATGGGAAAGTCGAAGTAATCGGAATATTCACTCATAGATACCCGAGTAAAAGCAGAAGAGAAATGCAATTTTTGTCCGTGGATGTAATGAAATATTGCACTTACCATACTACGATCTGTCCGAATGACAGGTGCAAAATCCTCAATTGATTGCGCCCGAATCCTGGCATCACCTTTGCCTTCCTCCGTCCCGGCCTCGACCCTCTCATAGCCAGCGTAGGAAGGAAAGAGAAGCCAAGGTACGGAGCCGTTGTAGACGGCGGTGCCAAAAAAGAGGAGGAGCATTCCTCCAAACTGCAGCCAGGAGTAGACCGTCCAGGCCTCTCCAAAGCGGCCGTACGTGAAGACGTAGTAGATGAGAAGGTCCGTGCCTGAGGAGAGAGAGTGTCTGCTTTTGAGTTCCTCGGGTGAGAGGACACCAGATATCACAGCCGTTCTCACTACTCCGTAGTGATTGTGGATGTGTATGGGCGTACGTAGCCTTCTTTCAACGAACAATCGAGTGATTTACGTTACACCACTCCCTTGAAAGCCCTATACTATTATGTAAGGGTACCCCTCCTACCCTTACCCCAGACAGAGATGGGCCGGAAGTTGTCGAGGATGGCGTGCCAGACTGAGGAAAGAAAATGCGTGACGTAGATGGCAAAGATGTTGTAGCAAGCTACCTGGAGAAGAGAAGAGGAAATAGAAGGCATCAGATGGGGGAGGGACGCATGAGTGTCCTACGAAGTGTTGATAATGGAGTGGGGGACTTAAAGTAGCAAAGACCCGTGGCCTTGAAAAGCCATGAAAACACGGGAGACGAGAGAACACCGAGCAATGGGGAGAAGAGTCGCAATCGCACCGTGAGGAAAAATATAAGGAGGACTGCCTGTAGCGGTGCGCTATTGCGAACCATCGCCAGCGAGTCGAAGACATTCTCCATAGAACCGCCCTCATCGGTTCCGGGAAGATAGTAGGCTGAGGGAAAGACGACCAAAAGCATGAGGATCATGCCCCAGAAGCCCTGTGGAGGAAAAAGCGAGTATGTAAAGCACCAGGGAGAAGCAGGAAGCGGCCGGAGTGGTAGATTGCGCGAAAGGCATTAAAGCCAAGGGAGATGGGGTGCTTGCTTCGCTGTGAGTTCTCTCAACTCTAGCAGTGTAACAGGGTGTCGACTTTCTTTTCTCACCTCCAACCCAACCAGCACCATCGGCGGGAGGCTTTCCACTGTCATAACCTGCGTAAATCAACAGTAAGTATTGAGCGACAAAAAGTGAGACATCCTACCGTTTCAACTTCCTTGTTACCCATCCTCCCAGTGTCTTCTACCTGACGACTGCTGAACCCCCCTCTCCTTCCCTCCCTTTCCCGCTCCTTCCGTACCTTCTCCTCAAACACGTATTGAGTGCCCTGGACCAGACACGACAAAAGGATGAAACCAATACCCACACGGGGGTCTCGATTGTCTGCGCAAAAGGAAGTAGGATGGAAGAGGGGGAATTTGCGAGGAGTCGAAGGTAAGCACAGACCGAAAGAAGAAAACAGAGGGAGGAAAGGAAGCACAGCGCATAAATCTAAAAAAAAGGGAGAAGATAACACGTGCGGCACTGACCAACAGTATTTTTGTGATCGAAGAAGGTGGTGGAGGCCACAAGTACCATGGCCACAAGGTTGATGCTAACACCGAGCCACATGTGCGGGGCGAGATGGTCCTTCAATACGAAGGCCTGAGCGAGAAGGGGAGGGGGCAAGATAGAGGAAAGGAGAGACAAAGGAAAGGCATGAGGTGCCGGAAGAGGGGATCTAAGTACGTCTTCGGCTTTTCTCGGAGTTGCCAACTATCTCAGCTTTCTTCACATCTGTCTGCTCCCTTTCTCCTCCTGCCCTCTTCTCCTTCCAGTTTTCTCCAGCACCCAAACCTTGAGAAGGGCTGTGATGATGATGACCGTGCATCGTACGAGCTGATAGACGGATACGGTAACATAGAGTAGGCCCGCCTAGGAAGCAGATAGAAAGGGAGTGTTTGGAAAGGAGGTGAGGAGGGTTGAGGAGAAGATTTAACCGCTCATAGCTGTTTGCGAGTGACAAAATAAGGTCACAGGACTGGCGATTGAATTTGTCGTTTCCCTCCCGCTATCCGTAATCATTTTTCTATCTTCCCGTCTGCGATGCCCTCAACCATCCCGTTTCGACCCCGTGATCCTCCTCTCCTTCCTTACTTTCGCAAAAGCTGTCCCCACGAGGTCGAAGAGGGAGGGAGCGAGGACAAGCAGACAGAGACGCCAGTTCAGCGGTTTGGGCTCGTCCGATGGAGAGGGAGGGTAAAGACGAGCGTAGACGCGCATGGCTGGAAGGGCTGGGGAAAAGGCGTCAAGATGCGAAGAAAGGGTTGATGAGAGCATCTTAAGAGGAATTAAAAAAGGAGAAAGAGTTGAACTAACCCATCGCCATGGCCATGAACATGAGAAACGTTGTAGTAAGAGGCTTTTCAAACGGTTTTCTCGTCCCGTCCGCGCCGACTGAAGTCATTTGATAGGCGACCTGCAGCGGGAAGAGCACACGAGAATGATCGGAGCTCGATGAAGTTAAGCTGCCATGTCTGGCGAGGTGTCTCGATTTTTAATAGCTCCTCAATCTTTGTACAAGCATAGCGTGGTCGTGCATGAACTCCACCTCCATCTCCACAACCCCCCTCTTGCTTCCATGCACGAACAAACCTTGATGGTTATAGAGCTGAATGTTCCCGTAAACAAGCCCATCAGGAAAACACTCATGCCGGGGCCATCACAGCCCAGAGTAGTGTGGCCTTTGGCCATGTTGCAAGTGCCTCCTTACTAGTCTAAGCAACAGGTTGCCAAATGAACTCAGAACTACCGCTCGTCTTGTTTGACTTTGGCGCCGTAGCTCCAAGGAAGTTTTTTCGCTCTATCGAGATCCGACCTTAACAAGTGCTGCAGTTCAGTTTATTTCTTTTCTCTGGCCTCTGCTGTAAGATGTGAAATAAAATATAATCGTGATAAAGAGATGGGCTTTTATTTCCACAGCGATGCGAAACGGGAGGAATCAAAGCCAGCGCGAGCTAAAATCTCAAGCAGGACGGGGTTTATTATCTGACGTGTTTGAGATCACCTGTAGCTGAGGAAGAAAGATGATGGAACGCTGTACATCCAGAATTTGGCATGGACTAGCACGAGCCTCGACCTCCTGCATAGTTTTGAGCAAAATGCACGCGCCCGCGAGTCACGAAAATTGGCGCTGAATTCACAGAAGCTCATGTGACACATTCTTTATTACAATGTTCTGCGCAGGAAGAGGCGAGGATCATAGAATCACGCACTCAATCATTCAGCGTGGCAAAAAGCACCGACCGTCTGTACTCGAATGTATGCGGCGTCGTTCGTAGGGAGGAGGTTAAGCCAAGACCCTCGTACTACATGGTTTGAGACTTGCTGCCGCTGGGGCGCATTTCAAGCCTGCAGGTGCGCACATGACCTGATCTTTGGGCTCGCAAGCCACGTCGTTTGCCAAAACTTTCAAACATGGCAATTAAAAGCTATTTTCTTCTTTTCTTGTAGGCATGGCAGTTGACTTCAAGAGACTTTTTGCTCTATCGACCCCTGTCCTCCAGCTGTTTTTTAACATCTTCTGCCTTCCAGTCGCATTTGCGCATCATGCACGTCATGGCGTGTCTTCCACACCTGCCTTCCAACCGTCAGGCTCAGGGGCTTTACAAATCTCGCGCAAGGCTTCCTTGGCAGTGACTCCTGTTGCCCTCCTAGGCCTTATGCCTCCTGTCAGCGTTGCCTCCTCAACCACCCGAACGGCTCCACCTTCTCTACCAAGAGAGGTAGAGGGTCGACCGACGCTACGCGAGAAAGGCCGTCCTCCACTCCTCGAGGCCTTAGTGTATCTGCCCAAAGGTGTTAATTATTGGGGCCAACTTCTGCCTGAGAGCAAGAACTCAGCTCCGGACAGTATAGCAATCGCAGGCACGGGCACTGAAGCCTTGTTTCTTACTGCTTCTTTTCAGAATAAGCTTATTTTGGGCGCGCGCGTGCCCATGCAGGGTATCATGTTCCCTTTCTTGGCACAGTTTTACGAGGATAACATTTTGGGCGGCAAAAACATATGGGAAGGTGTCAAGTCCAAGGACCTCGTGGTTCGGGCCCGTGTGTGTCCAACTGGTAGCTATCCTCCATGCAACGTCCCCCTCTTGAAAGCTGCGTCACTTTCCAAGTTCTTTCCGGAGGTGCGTGACCCGAACACGCCCGAGAGTGCCGAGGTCATCGCCCGTAACGTCCGCATCGGCGCGAGCTTGATGCTGCAGCCGGTCACCGAATCCACGACGTTAGAGCGAATGCGGGTTATGGATGGAGGCTTAGACAGAATAAGGAGAGAGTTTTGTGAATTGAAAGGGTAGCATGAGTAAAATAATGCAACGAGGGGTAGACAAGAAAAATGGGCCATGCCGATGACACGCGATGTTGGAGCTCTTTCTTTTGCGGATAATCTATTTACACAACTCTCGGACGCCAGGATGTAAGAGCAGGTGGGGACGTATTTCTTTAAACAACGGCTTGAGGTCAAGGGCCCCGCTATGGCATCTTGTCATCCCCTTTGACTGAAAGCACCCTGACCCTCTCTGAACGAGCATGCCGCTTTTACTCAACCATCCTAGAAACTACAGCTACCTGGGAAGGGCTAGTCGCGCACCTGCCAAACGTCTTGTGTACTCTTTGACTTGCGTCTGAAATAGCTGAGAGACCTGACGGCTGCCCTCCATCGCCGTAAGCATCATTTCCTCAAGGCGCTCGCCCTCCAAACGGGCCTCACACTGTATCAAAATAATCTCCCCGTGAATAGGAAAGGCGGCCAGTGGCATGTACGCCCCACCAGAGCTTTGCTCTTTGTAAGTAACGTCGAGCACGGGCTGCTTGTCCAAGAGAGCGACAGAGCAAGCGGTTACCATTTCTTTCATAGCAACGCCCGCATCCACCAGCGCTAGGGACACGGCGTTGATGGCCGTGGGCAAAATAGAGCCGTCGCCTTGTAACACGTACACTTGGATGTCTACCTGTGTTCGTGGGTATAGATTCCGCATGACCGCGGTCTCGAAAGTCTGTTTAAGAGCCAACGAAGCTTCTAAACTTGCCCGATCCGTTGGCCTGCGTTTTTTACGGTCAAACCCGGAAAAGGGAGTCCTGTAGAATTCGCACTCAATAATGCATTTGTCGTGCTGTACCTCACTACGTCTTGTTACTTCGTGGGGACCGTGAACGATGGCCAGCACCTCCGTCTGTCCTTGTTTCAAGGACGCCGAGCCATCCGCATTGGAGTAGGTGCCTAATGTACAATGCACGCGTCGAAGCTCATTTGGCCGCCGTCCATCGGTTCGTAAGCCTGCAAGGGACACCCATTCCCCAGCGCCTCGGCGCATGACGCTTAATGGCAGCAGCCGCGTGACCCGACGAAGGCAGAAGCGAGAGGGGAGGCAGTAACAGGAATCTAAGAAATGTCCGCAGGAAAGGAGCACGGGGCTCAGAACGTTGCAATTCGACCTCAGGAGACGTGTGACCTATACCACTGTATTTGTAAAATGGAATGGGTCTGTGAAGTCGAGCAGGATGCTGGCAGGCACCTGGGGACCGCTGGTTGGGGTCGGCGAGGCGAGGCAGTATCCTCGTGACTTGTTCCATTCCACGGACAACCACGGTCATGTCTCACTCCCCGCGCTTGGAGGCATTTCTATCTATCCCTTGTGCGATTCTCTTCTCCATGTGCTCCACGACATGTTCTTGCCTCCGATAACAAATTTTGGAAAGGGAGGGCATATGGAAAAATTTCCATACCTCTTACTGCTCCCGTCAGGCTTAGTCACGGCTTTATACCATTCCACAAAAGTTATACAGATAGGCCAAAAGAGTCCCCATCATCAATGTTACGCATAAACCCGACGTTGGGTCGGCGCCTGCTGGCTAGGACCACGCAAAAAGAAGTCTCCTGCATGCGCACGGCCTCCTATTTGTTGAACTCCCTTACCCCCCCGGGCCGGACTCCATGTCCTCACGCGTGCAGCCAACCTTATCCCGTCAGCTTCCGACCCCCACCCGCCCTCGAGTCGCTTCGATTTTTTTCTTCAAAACCGGCGAACCCTCCTGCAGCAGAAGCACACGAATTTCAGGCAGAGACACGCCAATTATTGGACATTGTCATTCACAGCGTCTATACTGACAAGGAGGTATGTAAATTGTTGCCCTTCCCCTCGATTCTCCACCTCCCTTAACGTTTCATGTAGGGCTAAGAAACAAACATACATCAGGTGTTTCTGCGAGAACTAATCTCCAATGCTTCGGACGCGCTAGAAAAGCTGAGGCACATCCAAGGTGTGTAAGGGCCCTCCCCTACTGTCCTCTCTCTCAGTTGCTCATCTCCCCGCCCCTTTAAACAATCGCAGTCACAGGAGAAGCGACCGTCGCAGACGCATCTTTGCCATTAGAGATAAATATTACCACGGACGAGGAGAAGGGGACTCTGACGCTCCGAGATACAGGTGAGAAGAGGATTGGGGAACGGGGTCCCGCAGGGGCGAGGAGCACCTTTGTGAGAGGGCGCCTTCTGGGAAGATCGGGTGGAGTAAGAGAGTCACGGAGTATGATGGCTCAGAGCTGGGTGCCTGCGTCGATTGATCCTGCTTTTCTATGAGGCGAAGCCTCGCGTCCTCTCTACACGCTCCTCCCTCCCTGTCTCCCACAACAGGCCTGGGGATGACGAAGACGGAATTGGTCTCCAACCTGGGCACGATCGCGCGCTCAGGCTCGAAGGCCTTTGTCAAGGAGCTGAAGGAAAAAGCCGGGGAGGGGTCGGCAGACGCGGCGGGCATCATCGGTAAGGGGGGCGAGGGGCGATAGGTAGGAAGAGCTCGTGCCGAGCCTGTGGTTGAGCGTTGAGGGACCGTGGCTCCTCCTGGTTCCCCAACGTGTCCCCCACGCCTCACCTCCCTTGCTCCCCCCCTCCGTCCACGAATGTTTAGGCCAGTTTGGCGTGGGTTTCTACAGCGCCTTCATGGTGGGCGACAGCGTGGAGGTGACCTCCCGCTCGTACAGCCTCGAGGAGCCCGGGCACACGTGGAAGAGCACGGGCTCGGGGTCCTACGAGATCGGGCCTGTAGAAGGGGAGGCGGAGGAGCGAGGGTGAGGCGGGGGGCTCGAAGGAAATGGGTAGGGTGAGGAAATGTGGGAGGGGAGGCTGGCTTTGAGGGGAAAAGGGAAAAGGGGGAGAAAGGGGGAGAAAAAGAGTGGCGAAGTGTCGAGGAGCGAGGAGCACAGGAGGCAGAAGTGCCACGTGCGGGGGACGGGATGAGCAATGAATGAAAGCACGCTAGCGCAGGGCAGGGCTGCACTATCGCGCGGGGAAAAAGGAGCAGGGTAGAAAAGGAGGGACAGGACGGCGCGGGGCCTGTGGCCCGGAGGCTCGGTCGGCGCCTCTCCTCACTTTTCACCCCTGACTCGCACAGGTCCCGGATCACCATCCATCTGAAGGACGACTGCAAGGAGTTCTCGAAGCCCGCGCGGGTCAAGGAGATCATTAAGAAGTACTCCAATTTTGTCAACTTTCCCATTAAGGTCCGGACCTCGGGACCCTCCCGCGCTCATCCGTGTATATTCTATGGGCCCTGTATGCCCTCGGTTTCGGATGCTCGGACATTCTTCCTCCCGTGTGTGTGCCTCAGTTTCTCGTTTTCAATAGTTCCCCCCCCCCATCCCTTTGTCACCCGTCTTCCATCGCGCCTCGCTCCCCTCCACATTCGCTCACTTCTCTCCCCCACTCCGGTGCTTTGTAGGTTAACGGTGAAGTCTGTAACACGGTGCGTGCCTTGTGGACCGAGGACAAGAGCGGCATATCGGAAGAGCAATACAAGGAGTTCTACCGGTGAGAGTGCGCGAGGCGCTGTCGGTCTGTTTCAATCTGGTGGTATTGTGTCATGAAAGTCTTTGGTAGCACTTGAGATCTCGGTTAAAATCCTGGGGATTTCTTCCGAAATCCACGCCCAAGGATTACTGAGAAGCCTCTCTTCACCCCAGCTCACGCGCGTATATCCTATCTCGTCCAATTACCCCACGCCCTGTCCCCCAGATTTATCGCCAACGCCTACGACGACCCCTGCTACCGGCTTCACTTCCGTACAGACGCGCCCCTGGATCTGAAGGTGCTCTTCTTCATTCCTTCCTTCCACGGGGAGAAGTTCGGCATGGGTAGGATCTGGCGGGATCTTAGCCCGGGAGGATCGATGTGGGAAAAGGAGAGAAGTATACATCAGAGCCTGGTCTGAGGAGTTTAGAAGGGAGAGGAAGGTCCATGGCGGGAACACTCGTCTCACAAAGAGATGCATTTCTCGCAGGGCGATTGGAGCCGGGCGTGAGTTTATACAGTCGCAAGGTCCTGATCGAGTCCAAATGCGGACGTATCTTACCAGACTGGATGGTAGGTGCAGCGGAGGATTAATCGGGGCAGGAAGGTTTCTTGGAAGAAAGGAGCTTTCTATTGTATTGACACCGTATTTTCCCCACCGCCTCTCACAGCGCTTTGTCAAGGGCGTGGTGGACTCCGAGGATCTGCCCCTTAGCATCTCCCGGGAGAAAGCCCAGGTAAGGCTTTCTTTACCAGCAATATAATCATCTGGGGTTGTAGGCTAACTCACAATCTTATCGTCTGGGTGAAATCAATCAATATTTCGTTGGGGCTTGCCCTTTGGCCTTGGATGTCCAGGACACTGCTCTGCTCAAGCGCATCGAGCGGGTACTGGTGCGGAAGGTGCTGAAGCAGCTGGAAGACGAGGCGCGGAAGGATCCTGAGAAGTACAAGGAGAAATTTTTCAAAGAATTTGGATATTTTCTCAAGGAAGGTGAGGAGAAAAGGCAAGGTGTCAAGCGATTCTTCCCTGGTGTCTGTCATTGCAAATGGTCGTCAACCATATGCTGGTCCTTCTTAGATAATCACATTGCTCTGTACGAACGAAAATGTGAAGATGAAGTTGCTGTTTTGTGTAAAAGCCTAGACACATGGTTTCCGGCTTTTTGTCGTCAATCCAATTGTGCATCTTACCACTATTCTGCTACTGAATTGTTACGCAGGTATCTGCCACGATTTTGAAAACGCGTCTCGCATTGCCAAATTGCTCTACTACGAGTCTTCCCGTCTGCCTTCCGGGGAGACTACCTCCTTCGATGAGTACATCTCTCGTTGCGACCCCGAGCAAGTACGTGGCGCGGTGCCTAGGATGAATTGGGAGAAAGAGAACAGAGCGTATGCTTCAAATGAAAGCGCGTATCATCGTTTCAAACAAATGTCATCACTTTTATTTCGTATACATCAGAATGCCATCTACTTCCTCTGTGCGCCTAATCGGGAGCTGGCTGAGGCCTCACCGTATTTTGAAGCATTCAAACGCAGCAACAAAGAGGTAATGCATTTGTCTCTTTCCACCGCAAAGCCTTGAAGCCGGTCCTGACTATCTAGACTCGTCTTTTTCGTCTTTTCTCATCCCCCCCCCCAAAGGTCATCTTTGTGTACAATGCTATCGACGACTTTGTAATGAACAATCTCAAGACTTACCACGGCCGCGATTTTAAAACGGCTGAGGCAACGGGGCTAGATTTGGGTCCAGGAAAAAAGGAGGGGGAAGAAGGTACGAAGCGATAGAGCTTAGACTAATGGAGGCGCACGACTCAACCAGCCGCAACCTATTTGCGCGTAGAGCTCGTTCTGAATCCTTCCACTTTCCTCTCGCATCCGTCTAGCAGACGCGAAAGACAAAGCAGAGGAGTCCTCCGCGCCTACCCCTCTGACCGAGGCGGAGGTGGAGGATCTTGGCAAGTGGCTTGTGTCCACCCTACCAAACAAGCTTCAGGACGCCAAGGCTACTTCGAGGCTCTACGACTCACCCGCTATTGTCACCGACCACGAGTCAGGAGCGCTGCGGAGAATGATGCGGATGGTGGAGCAGCAATCCATGGGCCAGGCCTCTTTCATACCCAAGCAGCACTTGGAGCTGAATCCCCGGCACCCGATTATCATCCGCTTGCACAGTCTTCGAACCGAGGATGCTGAGCTGGCAAAGGTACGAGCGAAGTGCGAAGCTGTTCTTTCTTTTCCACGTTGGGAACATTAAAAAATGATTCAATTTTGGTGCGGGCTACAGCATCAACTTTTTCGGGGTGCCCGGTCCATCTGGGTGCTTGACCGTCTCACCTTCTACCTTTCGGGGCGTTCAGAGATGGTTTTTGCGTGGTGTAAGGCGTCGCATGTCCTTTGAACGTCCGCCCCCAAACGGATCTCATCCAGCCCCGTGATGCAATGGACAAGACACGCCTCCCGCGCAGGTCTCCGACGATTCTGATCCTAGCCTCTTTCCCTGAATCCTACCCTTCTCGATCAGGTGGTGGCCGAGCAAATCTTTGACAACGCCATGGTAGCCGCGGGTCTGTTGGATGACTCGCGCGTGATGCTTCCTCGACTGAACAAACTGATGGAGCGACTAGTCCAATCGGCGAAGTAGGGAGGAGGGCAAGCGAACCAGGAAAGAGGGTTGGCGAA